AAATATTGCAGCAGTGCCATTGACGATGTGAGTCATACCATTTTTGAATGCTCGGCCTGGGAACCAGGTAGATTAAAGATCAAAGGGATTTTTAAGGTACCCTATAAAAAAGATAACCTAATACAGTCTATTGTGGACGACGAAGATATATTGGAGGCTTTCGTGGCGTTTATATCAAAAATTCTACGACAGAAAGAGCTGGATCAACGGAGGGTTGAAGAATGACCAAAGTTTAACGTAGACAGGGGCATCTCCGCCGAAGTAATGCGTGAGGAGTTCCAGCGCAGCTAGTCAACCAAATAGGGTGGAATTTTTTTAGTCGGTAGGAATCCGGCATACCTCGGTCGCTAGAACAACAGACCAGGTGGGTACAACAGACAGATTAGTATGGCAAGTCAGATACGACTCTGGAAAATGAAGAAATGGGGTAAGAACTTAGAAAGGTAAGTTTTGAATAATTTCGACACTACATAGATTTTAAACTAACATACGACATTCAATGATCATTTATAAACAATTCTCGTCGCATTTTGCACTTGACGGACAAACGCCCGCTTGTTTTCCGGCTTTCCATCTGAAAATAACTGCAAATAATTAAACACATTTCGGGACGCACACGTAGTTTGTTCACCCACATAACCTGAATTAGAAGCGCCCGCGACGCCGCCGTTGACACGTGTTCGCAATTAATTTATAGAGAATCCACAAAGCGCGTTAATTATTTCAAATGAAATCCGTGTTTATTTCGGATTATTTTCGGGTCACCTACGTGCCGATTTTAGCCGCTCTGGCAATTAAACGCAGGCCGTACACTGGCGGAATTAACGAAATCGTCGCCAAAACAATTTTGCGGAATTTTTGTTAATTTTCTTGTCATATAATTTCTAAAATTGTTTTTTATGTCTATGTTATCTTTAAAATAAGAAACAAAGATAAAATGTTTTCCATAATTTATTAAATAAACATTACTGAATAAACACATCTCCCATAGGAACAAATAGCATCATCATCATCATCATTCTCAGCCTATTTAACCATTTACAATTATAGTTCCTGCTTGCCATTCCTATTTATAGATACTCTTAATTTGCCATTCATATTTAGATACTCTCTTCAGTGCCTGCTTCCCTCACATATTTGGATACTCTATTTGTAGTTGAGTTCCTTGGTGTCTATTGTTGGTTATGCGGGCCCAAGTTATCCTTGCCAATTTCCTAATATCATGGTGCTATCTTAGGGTTTGGTTTTCCTCTAGGTCTCTTAATTCCTCGTGGGTACAATGCTTAAATTTTTGTGGTCCACCAGTGGTCCCTCCTTCTTGCCAGTCTTGCCCATTGCCACTTGAGGGATTTCATTCTGTGGAAGACATTTATTACCTGGGTCTTTTGTCGTATCCACTTTATTCTTGGTTATTCCCAGCATATTTCGTTCCATTAAGCATTGTGCGACCTGCCGCATGCCGTTTCATTATAATGTCGGTTTTAAAGTCCAGATTTCGCATGCATAGGTCATGACTGGTGGTACAGATTGGTCGAATGTTTTCTTCTTTAGATAAAGTGGCATTCCAGATTTGAATATGATTGAGTTTCTTCCATAAGTACTCCATGCTAATTTAATTCTTTGGTGGATTTCCGGTAGTAGAGATCCCGAGCTGTGTATTATTTGTCCCAAATATATGTATTCTTATATTATTTCCAGTTTTGTGTCATCACAATCATTGTCATATCACAAACCGGGGACCACCTGTTTGTGATATGACGGACAAACCGGTACAAAACTGAGATAATTGTATTTTTGGTTTAATATAAGGAGAGTAAAAAAGCAAAATATAACACTAATTTACTATAATACACCAAAACACTTTACTTTTAAAAACTGGACGCGCGTTTCACTAACTATGTTAACATCATCAACAGATTATTATCTGCTGATAAAAAAAAACAAATAACATAAGTTAGAAGATTAATTAGCTGTCTAAATGGGGTATTTCGGAGTAAAGAAATAGGGAAAGAACGGAATATGTATATGAGACCCCTGTAAAGAGTCTACCTTACGGTGCAGAGACATAGAGGATAACAGAAGCCAACCGAAGGAAACTAGAAGCAGTAGAAATGATATCGAATAATGAGACATCGAACGCAAACAACTTGTATGGTTTGGTTTGGATATGTGCAGAGCGTGGATGATAACAGATTTTCAAAAGAAGTTATGCAGTAGATACGTCACAACCAGAAGAAAACATGGAAGACCAAAGAAGGGTATAAAAAATTGAAAATAGGCTAAAAGACTGCTAAAAGCAATTAATGGCCAGAAACAGGGTGGGTATTTGACACGCATCAGAAGATGGTTACGCAAGGCGTTTTCTTTCATGAGCTCTTCTGTGACTGAAAAGCCCGATATGTCATATTATCTCTTTTCTGTACTCCAGAAATTCAAAAATCTCATGACTTTGTTGACTCTTTAATTTCTGGTTGTCGTTGTTCACTGAGTTTATAATTCTTCTCCATTGCGTTCTATTGTGCGCTGCTTCCTCCCAAGCACTGATTCTGAATGCTTATCCCTTTAAGTTTTCATGGAAAATATCCTTATGTGTTGGTTTGCTGGTTTTCTCTTACCATCTACAAGCTCACCGTAAAGAAGAGATTTCAGTAGGCGGTTTTTTTGCATTCTGCTGCCGCTGCCTGGATTTAGTAATCATGACTTCAGCGCTCTCGTAGCTAGCTGTTTCAAGGACAAATACGTTTGAGACATGGTGGTACCATTTCATTCTTAACAGTTGTCTAAGGTGTCTCTCTTGCAACTTGTTTAATGCGTTCATGTGCCGACGGTTTATTGCACCCAGGTTTTGCTTGTGGGGATTATTATTGCTCGCTACACTGCAAGTTTATTTTTTGTGATCAAGTCATGATTGTAGAAAACCCTGTCTTTTAATTTCCAGAACGAGGCGCTGCTAATTCTGTGCTGAATTTCAGAGTCGATATTGGCCTTTTCTGAAATGAAACTGCCGAGGTAATTGTGGAAGCACCGAATGATGTGAAAGTTAGGCATCGGACAACGTCGCAAGACGTTCTAAACGGATTTACAGGGTGGTCCGAATTGTATTCTGGAAACTTTAGTGGCGTATTGTGTAAATAAAAATAAGTAAAAAGTTGGTATAAACGTATGTCCTAAAATGCTTAGTTTCGGAGATACAGGGTGTAAAAGTTTCATTTTTATTTCGATTTTTTCCAAATATTTTATGAAGTAACGTCAATATTTGAATGAAAATTGGTGTCTGGGAGTTTTTTGACATATGATAATATGACTCCTACTTATAAAGGGCGTCACCTATATATTTTTTACTCTTTACTATCCACCTACTAGTTTGAAGAGTAATAACTTTTCGTTCGTACGACGTTTTTTACGTAAAAAACGTCTCTGGGTAAAAATCACTACTAGTAATGGTTCTCGAGATCTTTGGAATCGAAATTATCAATATCTTTCGTCGACATAAATTAAACATGTTGACTAAATAGTTATTGGACTGAAATCTTAAATTTGAAATGTTTTTGTGCCAAAAGTTAAACAGAAACTGTTTTATCTTAATTTTGCGCAGAAAAATTTATGATTCATTAAAAAAAATAAAAATTTCCCAGATTTATTATTTCAGTCAAATAACTATCTAGCTACTCAACGTGTTTATTTTTTGTCAATAATGACATGTATTGACTAATTCCATTCTAAATACCTTCAGAACGGTTGCTCGTAGCGATTTTTACTCAGAAGCTTTTTTTACGTAAAAAGACATAGAAATGTATATTTTTTCTCTCAGTAGTTTTATACAGGTACGGACGAAAAGTTATTAAATAGAAGTCATATTGACCTCAAAATGAAATTTCTCATGTCAAAAAACTCCCAGACACCAATGATGTTATCCAAATATTGACGTTACATCAGAAATTATTAGGAAAAAATCTCGAAATAAAAATGGAACTTTTACACCCTGTATCTCCGAAACTAAGCATTTTAGGACATATATTTATACTTTTTTACTTTATTTTAACTGCAGAATATGCTGCCGAAGTTTCCGGAATACAGTTCGGACCACCCTGTATTATTATAAATAATTGTATTAATATAAAGTTATCTCTAGCTATCGAATTTTAAAAAGCTATCGTAAAATTTCGTTTAATTTTTAAATTAGCGGGTCAACAAGCCCCGAACGAGCCGAACCGCGCCGCGAAAAACAGCCGACGCGACCCGCTCGTAAAACCGACTCCGTCCGTACATACATTCTCGCGGTAGTCGCATTATAGTTTTATCGTTATTATTTTTCGTTTTTCGGTTATTTACGAACAAAAATACGGCCCGCGCTCCGACACTAAGTGCCGTAAACAACGGCCGTCCGGATGTCTCCGGTCAGGTCGCCCCGCCAATTTATCTGAATTTTATTTTAACGCGTGCGTTAAATTTTATTGCGAACTTTTATAATCATCGCAGTTTAATAAGGCTCTTAGGGGCCGGGGACCGGACAGAAATTATACTCGCAGCGACCCCGTAGCAGCACGGGCGCGAACCATTTTTTACGATCGGTCGTGAGAGTTACGAGAGGAGATGCTGGTTTGCGAAGCGTTAATTGAACATCGGTGTGGCTCAGCACCACCACTGGTCAACGAAATCCATTTTAAATATAAAAGATGGAATATTTCCATAAGAAATACAAATGTAATGAAAAGTTAATCAAACAACTTTTTAACTAGATGTAACTATTTAGATGTAACTATCAGAAGCTCTTAAACATTGGCGCAAGAAGTGTTCTCAGATGGGAATACCTATTAATGACCACCTTTTTCTGTATAGCCAATTCGGCATAAGCGATACGCCCTCTGCCGGACATTTAGACAACTGAGCTATGGGCCATTAAATTTGACATTTGTCGTCTTTTACATTGTTTAGAACAGCTATTCACGATTCTCATATCGTTTTTGTTTCTTTTGCGGAAGTTTAATTATTATTGAAAGATGAATCATTATTGTTGTGTTCCCCAGTGTTCATCCTGGGTAAAGAAAAACCCTGAATTAAGCTTTCATACGTTTCCAAAAGCAGGAAAAGAACGTGTTGTTGTAGAAACAAAGTTAGGAAATAAGGAGCTTGTGGATAGAAGACAGATGTGGATTCGATTGTTGAAAATTGGAAAAAACCCATCTATTCACATGAGAGTATGTTCTTTACATTTTGATGAAAGTGATTTTCTTCAAAAAGGTAGGTAGAACTCCTATGTCGAGACCTCCGTAAGAAATGAATTAAACCAAAAGTTTTTATAAGTATTGAAGAATATTTAATTTAAAATAGGATGCTAAACAAGTTGGCAAGCTATTTCTAAGGAAATATATTGCTCGATACATACTTGATACATTAAAACTTTTGGTTGCATTATCTGATTCTCCGACAAGCAACAGAACCAATATCTTACCATTTTCACCCTCCTATAAATCGGTGTCCTAATTATATATATTTTTTAATTTCAGAAAGAGTTAAACGTAGAACATTGAAGCCTAAGACTGTTCCTTCAAAAAATTTACCAAAAATTTCACATGATGCTGCTGCTGGACCATCTTCCAGAATTCGTAGAACCAGGCAAATGGAAGCACATATGCTTAATGAGGCCAGTGCAACCAATAATGAGGCAACTAATGTGTTTCCTTTATGTGACGATGATGATAATGTTGAAGATCCACAAGAAAGAAAAGCTGCAGAGGATGTATTAGCTCAGGTTGATTCTCAAAACACAGTAGAAGTTGTACCTCCAGGACCTAGCAGCAGAGATAGTGCAGTTCAAGTGAATACACCAAAAGTTTTAACTCTTTATGAACTCATAACTAGTGATGAAAAGTTGAGAAACTTTACTGGCATAAATAACTTTGCAATTTTTGATTCTATACTTGAGATATTTGAAAAATATCATAAGGACAAGCGTGTGCGTAGATTAAGTATTAGACAAAGGATCATGTTGCTATTGACTAAATTTAAAACCAGTTTGACATACGTAACATTGGGCTCACTATTTGGAATTACTCCAGATTTGGCCAAAACCTATATCTATGAAATGATGCCAGTCCTTTCAAAAATTTTAAAACCATTAATTGTTTTTCCTTCAACAACTCAAATTACTAAGAACATGCCAATTTGTTTCAAGGAATTTCAGGATGTTAGGGTGATATTAGATTGTACAGAAATTTTTGTGCAGTCGCCAAAGTGTTTATGCTGCAGAATCAGGTTTTATTCACAATATAAATCTAACATAACTGTCAAATTTATGACAGGAGTTTCACCTGGTGGGCTTATAACATATATCAGTAAACCATATGGGGGAAGAGCTTCTGATAAGGTAATATTTGAAGAAAGCAATTTAATATCATTATTGAATCCTAACAGAGATGCAATTATGGTTGATAAAGGGTTTGTTATAGATGACATTTGTAATTTATACAAAGTAAAACTAATTAGGCCACCTTTCTTGCGACATAAATCACAACTTTCTTCAGAAGAATCAATTTTGAATGCCAAAATAGCATCTGCTAGGGTTCACATCGAACTTGGTTCACATCGAATGAAAGTTAATGAAAGTCCAATTTAATTTACCACTAAGAAATTCTTAGTGGTAAATTAAATTGGGCTTTAGTTCCAATGGTTGAAGATATATTCATAATAATTTCTGCAATAACAAATTTATCTTCACCAATTTTAGCAGACACCAGATTTTTATCAGAATGAGGATTTGTACTACTTGTACATAGAGACATAAAAATCTTAAATTTACTGTTAACCTTATTTTATTTAATTTTTATATAGAAACGTACTACATACATATCATTATATTTTATACCAGTAATAAATATTTATGCACAACAGTTGTGTATCATTTTTTCAAAATATTTATGTTTTACATTTATTAACATGTCACAAACAAATTCGTAATCAAAATCAACCTCCATTATTAACACACTATCATCAAAAGAAGCATATAACACAAAATATGTTTTGGGCAAAATCAACACTGCCATCCCCATCTGCACTTAGCCGTAATACTTGTGCTTCTTTTTAAGATGGTATTTACCATTTTCTTCGACCACATATTTTGCACTCTTGATGGCTTCAAGAATCGTCTTAGTTTTAGCTAGAACCAAGTTTCAAAATGACAAGTTGACAAAGTTTCAAAAGTGAGACAAGTGAGACAAAGTTTCAAAATGTAGGAATAAAATGATTAATGTGTACCAATATTTATACCTTCGAAAATACATTTTATCTCAAGGAGATAAAGTGGATTATCCTTGAAAAATATTATACCATCAGGGGAATATCCCAACCACCTGTTGGCGGAGGGAATAACTAAGCCACATTCCACAGTCATTCCTGATATCTTGACAAAAATGTCTCGTGCTGAACTCTCATATTTCAAGCCATGTTTTATATATTTGTTATTAATTTGGATGGGGTTGAAATATTTTATTGATTTAGTTTCCCAATCATCCTTTGAATAGGTGTAAATTTCGTAGCAGCGACTCCCAGTAATACGATATTTACTTTTTTTCCCCAATCCACTGAATGTTGTGGAGAATGTATCGCTTCCTCTATATCATCATTACACAAAGTGGACACTATTTGTGCACAGTAATCTTTTCCGACTGGTATGTCAATTGATGCCAAGTACAGCATAGTGGGTGACTGGCAAGCCACATTCAAAATAGCCTCTATGTAACTAACACAATAATTGTCAGTTTTTTCCAAATTTGTAGGAACATCTGTAGAGCACTCTTCTCTTCGACCTTAAAGTTCGACCTACAAATTAAAAAAATCAAATCAAATTAAGTAATTTTTAAAAATCCATCATTGATAAACTTATATGTGCTTAGCAATTGCTGAGGTAGGCAATTTATTACAAAAAAAATTGACTATATCATCGGGATTTACATCAAGCTGGCTTTTATATATACCTTTATTTTCAAAACATGGAATTTCATCCACAGATACAGGCTGATATTTTTCTTTGGTAAGGTTTTTTTGAGTAGCCCATAAACATTTTTTTTAGTTTGGAAAATAGAACCCAATGTCTCCACATCTTGTCTAAAAAAAAGAAACGGATGTTAAGAATATTATGCAGTTTGGTATTTCTACGTAGGTAGTATGTTAATTAAAATCATATCTGCATGGAAATAATTGGGACTTCAAAACTCACCTTATACATCTAATAAGGAAAGCTGAAACATGTTTGCATTTTCCGCTGTTTCCAGCTTTACATGAACATAACATACTGGAAATTTTAATGGATTTGGAAAGTGACAATTTTCCTGTTATTTGATGGGGATTGGAACCTAATGCACTTGACTGCAAACATAATCCATATACATCTATATAGGCAGAACAAGAAGATTCCTCAATTTTTCCGGCCAATATAAGATGTCCTGCATTTAGCACATTTTCACCTTCCACCACACATTTGGAATGCTCAGACCCACCTACATAGTTCATGAACTCCATGATGCCTCATATTGGATTTTTGTTAGTGTCCCTGAACAATAATTAAAATTCGCAAAACAAACCACAAAAATATCACACTTCCAAGCTAAAACACGTGCATAAACAAAATGTAAACAAAGAATAATGGCCAATAGCTATATGTCAACTGTCACCGTCGGCGGCGCTGCGATCTTAATCAGAGATGCCTATACTAAGCGCTTGCAAAGGTTAGTCTTGGGTCGAGATTTCCGTATGTAGGAAGAGTACGATGGCGTTTAAAATGTACTGAACAAAGAGAGGACAGTAAACACGTTGCAAAACGTATGAAATAAACCGAGAAACTGTGCACATCGCTAAGAGACGTGGAAGGGGATATAGCAGATTTGTCGCAGTTGACCGGTCGACCCAATCAATACCTCTGTCAGTACTTAAAGTTCTAGGGAAAGGTGTACGTCATGCGTTCAGCTTTACGATTTAATTACGTCTCGTGATACTTAATTTGTTTATTTATTAACGAGTTGTTGTAATTTTCCCTATAGCTTGAATTTTTTAAGTGCAAGCTAGAAACACTTGCATTTTTAGTAAAAATAAGTGGAATTGAGTGGGTATTCGATAGTGGTCGCGCTATTAGAACTCTGAATTCAAAAATCGATATCTCGAAATCTATTAAAAATAATAGGTTGTAGTTTTTCAAGAACTTTGTTAATATTTCTGCTGCATTTTTTTGTAGACAGTATGTGAAAATCTTTATCAATAAAAAAATTACACGATTGCTGAAAATTGCTATGCTCTAAAAGTAAATGGATGGATTGTTTACAATTTTTGAATGGAAAAAACAACCTTATCGAATTTTTCTTATGTAAACAAATTGTAAAATATCCGATCCTGAAAATAAAAAAAGTTTCAATATCTAAAGTAGTTCTTGAGTTATGGCCTGTTATGTGTTAAAAAGTTGAGTTTTTAAATTATCGCGATTACTGACGTTTTCTCGTTATAAAAAAAATGACACCCTAACGATATCCTTATAATTCCATTTCAGATGCTCAGAAGCATGTCTAATGATTTTATCTAGTTATCTCTTGAAAAAAAAATCTTTTAAAAATAAGCGGTTTGCGACTGTGATTTTACTTTACTTGATAGGGACAGGCGTATCGGCAACGCCGCAACAGCACACCGTCGCGCATCGCGTCGGTCAGTCGCATTTCTCTCACTCCAACTTAATAAGATCCCTATGGGATTTACTTCCACACATGTAAATACCGACCCAAAAGTAACAGTTGCCAGCACGGTATACTCGGGATTTCATCGATGAGCAGATAGTAATGGCTCAAGACAAAGAAGACCTAGATGACTAGAAAACTGATAGAAGAATACGAAAAATGGGGACTGGAGCTAAACAAGAAAAAGACAAGATTGGAAGACCTGGTATTAAATAACAATAGACAGGGTCGCTGTCATGTATGGAAACGGTCGATTATTAGGTAAAACATAGGAGGTACCGCAAAAAGTTAAATACAAATGTTATAGGATTTTTAAATATCTATTAGGGAGTAATAAATTTAAGTATACAGGGTCGATCATAAAGTCGCAAAAACTAGCAAATATGTAAGATATAAGTTTTATTATTATTTGATTTTAATTTATTAAACAATTGTTTTAATTTCCTTAAAATACTGTCGGTCGATCGGCATGCCACTGGAAATTGACCTCAAACGTCTAATCTTTGTACACAACTCATAGACTTAAAATAAAATATAGACTACACTATTTACATCTCAACGCGGACAAACAACCTTTTTTGTACACATGTTTACTTCTGGGTACAGTCGACCGAGCCTTCCTCATCCAGCCTATGTTGTCACGTCTTTAATATTATCAATATTTTTTTTCTTGTTATACACATATATTGAGATATTAATACTATAGTTTAATAAAGTAGGTTTTAATATTCCATAGATGTATTAAATAGTCCTTATTCTACTAAATTATAAGTCGGATACTGTTTAATAAGGATAAGTTCTTTACAATATGACAACACCGATTAGAGGCGAGGGAGCCTATTCATTCATTTATTACCTTGTAGTACGTGTCGCACGTGTGCGGTAAAGCTTTGTTGCCGCTATCTCCGCGGCTGTATTAACGCATTTTCTTAGCTTGTAGTCCTTAATTGTTTATTTTATTGACTTTTTCTGTTCAAAAACTATAAAATATGGTTCGCCAGTGCCAAATTTGCAAGAAATTTGACTTTAATAATCCATTTAAGTCTTGAAACGACTTTTGACCGGTAGGCAACTCTCAATTTACCCATTGGGAGTCAGTGGCGTTGTTGTAGAAAGGCGCTTATTTAGATAATATTTTAGTAAAATGTAAAATCTGATTTTTTTCTCTTACATTACATTATTTACTTACTTACATTGTAACAAAATCATAATTATAACCCTGTTAATAATTAATAATGTTTTTATTAAAAATATATTCCGGTTTATTCTAAAATTATCTTCAGAATCTAAAATAACATACAAGAATTTTAAAATGATATTACATTATGAAACAATATTTTTTAATATACCGGGTCGTCTCAAAAGTGGCTCAACCCTATAACTTTTTTTATTTTTTCAGATAAAAAAAAAACAGATTTGTATGTTACTAGGTATATGACATAAATTAGGATTTATTGACGTATTCAATTGTTTTTGGTCTCTTCCTGTTTCGCCGAAATGATTACATCTTTTGATTTTTAAAGGCACCCTCGGTTTATTGCTACTTTATTCGATAAAAAATGACACTCTGAATAGAATGACATATCATATGTCAACTTTTGACATTGTCGCTTAAAAACATATCCTATTTTAAATTTCAATCCAGTTTTTTTCAATCCACTAAGTTTTAATCAAGGAGCCTTGGAAAAATAGTTTTGATCGTCTAATAGGTTTCGTGTCTTGTCTAGGCCGGTTAAAAGATGTACAAATCGTATTTTTAATCATACATATGTCAATTTTTTCAAATGGAACAAGGGTGACTCATTAGCATATTTGGAAAAAGCATTTTTTTATGAATATATTGATACCACACACTTGGTATTTCGAGTCAAATTGTCGTTATGAACCGCGTGTTACAATT